CGCGGAGTGGTACCGCTTCGCACGGCGTACACACCTGCACCCAGTGTTATTGTCGAATTTTTCTCATGCCGGGGATATTTTCGTGTGCAGAATCCGGCGGACGCCTATGCTACGGCTACGCCATTTCAAACCAGTTACTAAACAGAGGAAAACCTGCGGGAACACGTACGTAAGTTCGTTACATTTCTCAGAAGAAAGTCGCGTTGTGTCCGCGACGGATTCGTGGATTGGTTCGTATGCGGCCTCGAAGCCGCTGTACAAATTCTTCGACAATAAACCTATCGACTTGATTGAAAATGGCTGGTTTTAAAATTGCTTTGAAAAAAAATCAATTTTTTTTAAATGTAAAAAAACAATTTAGAACATTGTCTTGGCAAAACTATTGAAAAGGATACAAAAATAATCAAAATTTTAATTTTAATTTTGGATTTTGATATACTGCGCTTTTGTTCCGTGGAAAATGGCTATATTTTATTCTTGAAGAAATTTATTTTCAATTCTCGATTATACTCGAGTGTGAAAAAAAATATATATATATGGTATATAGTATATATATAGCATACATATTATTATAGCATTATATAGCATTATAGCATTATAGCATTATAGCATATATATATAAAATACAACGCCGCTCGAATTGTCTCGAGTGTGCACAGTTTGGCCTGTTCAGCGCGCTCGAATTAACTCGAGCATGCAAGTTAAGGGGTTAATAATAGAAATCCTTTCGTTGGGAAAATGGTGAAAGGTCTAAACGAATACAATCTTGTCGTTCTTACGAACCAACACATTTTAGGTTACTTTTCGGGCTCGATAGGTTTAGCGTTAAATCTGCATTATCCATAAAGAATCAGATACTATTGTAAAAGAAGGAACCTTCCTTGCCTTGCTCTTGGGTTAAAAGCTACCTATAGCAGTCTACTCGATTGGTTATTTTGAGATAACCTCAAACGACATAGGTTAACACTAAACCTACCACGGTCAAAATGACCGATTTTTCATTTCACGATACTACAAACTTTCGAGACTTCTTCGTGGAAAAAATGATTGAATAAATTATATTATTGAAACAAGTCTCATAATTAAAACTTTATAAAATCCAAGTGAATTCAATCTTTTCACTCTTACGAGTCAATGCAAGCTAATCATTGTTACAGGTCGGTTGGTTTTATTGTTAAACAAACGTCGATTTCTTCCGTTGTAAAAGGGTCGTCCACCTATTAGTCACTTCCCATGGAACAAAGGGGGACGTGACCATTGTCTCGCGGTCTAGCGTAGCTGGAACTGAGATTTTCGTTTTGGCTGCGACTTCTTTATGACGCAATTATTCGCGAATTCCTGCGAACAATTTCGATCGTTCCTTCACGGCTCGACGACTTTTCCATGCAACGGGCCCACCGCGCCGAAGCTTTGGCTTCGATCCGAGTCATTGGCGACTGCCGAGTTACGGTACCCGACATACCGACGTGTTCGAGGTAGGTAGTGGGGGGAGGTACAAAGCGTGCGCGGAGGGGGTCCAGGCTCTCTCTCTCGGATCCGCGCACGCATCCACGTTATTCCACATGCAAAGCGGCTCTACCCCATGCCCACTGCCACCTTCTTCCCGACGGCCTAACTACCTATCTACGAAAGGTACGCGTCGCGTCGCGAGTGTGTACCCGCGAACGCGCGGCGGGCCTCGCTTCTGAATTATTCAACAAGCATCACCTTGAGCGACGTCCAAGCAAGCGTAGGCCGGGGCTCAGCCTCTGCCTTTTCTTTCCCTTTCGTAGACCACGCGCGGACAAATTCGTGATGTCTTTCACGATGACTCGCGGCGACGCGACGCGAGGAATATGAATGTCGCCCGGTGCCCGTTGTGTTTTAGGTTAGGGATACTCCACGCGGCCACGGGGTTACTTCGTGCCGGTAAGAGAAAACGAAATTCTTTCAGCTTCTGCTTTCTGATACGTATCGCGACAAATTCAATCGTATATTTCTTTGAATTGCCGAATTGTAAACGCAATTTACTTTACTATGATCGTAAAGTATACTTTGGGAGGAGACGACGTGTTTACTCGTCGTTGTTGTCTTTCTTGTTTGTGTATTTTATTATTATTTGAGAATTTTTAAGTTTATAGTAACAAGAACTTATAATATAATATAATATATATTATATTATTAATAATAAATAATTAATTTCTGAAAAGTTCTTGTTACTATAAACTTAAAAATTCCCAAATAATAATAAAATACATAAACAAGAAAGACAACAACGACGAGTAAATACGTCGTCTCTTCTCAAAGTATACTTTATTATTATTAGTATTATTATTAGTATTATTATTAATATATATAATATATTATTAAATTAATTATTAATAATATAAATTTATTATTAATAAAAGTTCCTCGTTTTTCATAAAATTTGTAATTTTGCCCTGCGTTCGTCGTGTATACACGTCATCGCCTGATTTTAATTCCGCACGCTGCGAGGGGTTTCTAACCCTTAGAGGACCAAAACTATTTATTTCCAGTTTACACACTGCCAAGTCCAGACTGTTTCTCAGACGAAGAGAAATTTTGTCCTGCAAATTTTTCTATCAAATATAGAGAAGAGATATTCATTTCTTAAATAAAACTTCGTTGATATATTTTCATCGAAACAATCGTGCCTATTCCTCCAATGTTTATTTATATGTTTTATTGATTTTTGCCGCGTGTATGGCAGCATTGGACCGTTAAGGGTTAAAACTAAATTCGACACTTAACTGGTTAATGTATTAGGGGGACCGGAAAGTAATGTCGTTTCTGCGCATGTCAGTATTCCTTTTCTTTTGCATACTAAATGAAAAAAGGTTGTTGATAATGAGGGTGATTACATCATTGATTGAAAATAATAACTAGTTAAAAATTTATCTGTTTGAATTTTATGTAAACAAACGACATAACTTTCCGGTCCCCCTAATATTTATATAAGATCAAGTCTTTAAATGTTTTTAATACGTCGTATGCCATCTGGGTTGTTCATCATTTGTGCAACTATCTCCGAGGTACGCGTGAACGTTCGAGAAATACGTATACATAATGAGGTGAAATGAGAGACATAACCTTGTAAGGACAAGGAACACTCGTAAGGAAACAGTTCTTGGAATAGAGTGGCCAACTATTGCGACTATTAGTGTACGTTGAAGGTCTTCTTTCGAATCACGGCTGCTTTTGTAAGAACGCTATAAGGTTGTGAAGAGATTTCATCTTCTTACTGTTCACCAAAGGATCCCTAATTAAAAACCCAACGAAAGCAACACGCGGGGATGGATGTATGCAATTAATATCGATACACGTCACAGCGTATGCGCAGCTATAACTTCCATGAATAATTCAGAACGCGTTACGAAGTTATTTACCGATCCGATTATAATAATCTCTCGTACCGATGTAATTAGCTAGACAACTCGCGGATCCGTCTTGGTATTTGCAATGAATATTTATGAAATTATACAGGGTGTCCCAAAAATGTCTCGCAATGCGGGAATGGCGGGTTCCTCGGATCATTTGAAGCAACTTCTTCCTTTACAAAAATGTTCTCCGAGGCACCGTTAACGAGTTATTAACGAAAAAGCAGTGACCAATAAGAATCGAGTACGGCTGACGCGAGGCGGCCCAGCCAACCAGCGCGCGAAGCCCAGTACCGCTCATTGGCTCGTAATAACTCGTTAACGGTGGCTTGGAGAAAATTTTTATAAAGGAAAAAGTTGCTTCGAATGACCCGAGGAACCCGCCACTTTCGGATTGCGAGACATTTTTGGGACATATAATATATACATAATATATATACATAATATATACATAATGAATATAAAATGAATATAAAATGAATATAATATAATTTATTATATAATGAATATAAAATGAATATAAAAATATATACATATATACATAATATATATATAACACACATATTTTTATATTTGATAGATATTCATTCATGTTTATATTTGATTTTATATTCACACATATTTATAATATGTGTGAATATAAATATATATATGTATATAATGAATATAAAAATATATACATATATACATAATATACATATAACACACATATTTATAATATGTGTGAATATAAAAATATATACATAATGAATATAAGATGGATATAAAATGAATATAAAAATATATACATATATACATAATATACATATAACACACATATTTATAATATGTGTGAATATAAAAATATATACATAATGAATATAAGATGGATATAAAATGAATATAAAAATATATACATATATACATAATATACATATAACACACATATTTATAATATGTGTGAATATAAAAATATATACATAATGAATATAAGATGGATATAAAATGAATATAAAAATATATACATATATACATAATATACATATAACACACATATGTTTATATTTGATAAATACGTAACGCGCAGTGTTCCCGTGAGCGGCGGACACTGTGCCTACCACAAGGCGACCTTGGCGTTAGCCTAAAAAGAATTCCGCGTGTGTACAAACGGCGAGAGAGGTTCGTGCTCGCGCGGGCTCGTGTTAGGCCGGCACGAATGCGGGAAACGAGGCGAAATAATAAAATGCCAGGCCGGTTTTCTTCGAGTCTCGCGTAGGTCGTGATATTCGCTTTTCGATTGCGAGTTTCCTCGACGCTTTTCCGCGCAGCTGCGCGCGCAGGCGTTAACGGTCTTACCAGTGGCGCGCGAAGCACGTGCACACGCGGAGGAATTACCGACCGGTTACGCCGGAACAATTTCGCAGCTTTCTTTTTCTGCCACCGGCTAACGAAATTCACCAACCGATTCAATTATCCCGGCTCCGGGTAAAAGTGGCGTGGTGTCGAGAGTCGGGACGCGATAAAGCAGTGGAGAATTAACGGGATGCGGTGGTTTAAATCGTTGATATATACACGAGCGGTCGCGACATGAAAAACTCATCGTATCCTCGGAGAGATACACAACGTAACAACGACTACACTCACCCGATGGGGATAAGCCAGATGCCAAGTGACGTTGAAATTACTACCGGACAGTAATGTGGTCTTGATATCGCCTGAAACATGAAAACACGTTCATTAAGGTTAGTTTACCATTAGCGCTTGTCGGCGAGTAAACGGTTAATCAGCATTAACATCTTTACGCAACCGCAGTTTATATATGCCGATTCAAATGGTATTTGTATCAATTTGTACAGTTTTTTTAATTAGACACGTCGTTCGTTTCATTTTCAAGTAGATCGTTCATGCTCTTTGCAGATGAGGATTTTCTTGAGCAATGCGTACAATTATTTTTCTCGGAGAAATGGCGGCTATTTATCTAACCAAAAAATATATATATCATATATATCATATATAAAAATATCTTATGCAGCGATTAAAATGATATCTGTACCAATTTGTACACTTTTTAATTAGACACATGGTTCATTGAATTTCTAATATTGCACCGTTTATAGTGTTTTTAAACATTTTCGAGTTACTCTTTGCGGATATATATCTGTACCAATTTGTACACTTTTTAATTAGACACATAGTTCATTGAATTTTTAATATTGCACCGTTTATAGTGTTTTTAAACATTTTCGAGTTACTCTTTGCGGATATATATCTGTACCAATTTGTACACTCTTTAATTAGACACATGGTTCATTGAATTTCTAATATTGCACCGTTTATAGCGTTTTTAAACATTTTCGAGTTACTTTTCTTAGGTAGCAAAATCGTTTTTCTCAGAGGGCTGTAAAGTAGCAACAATCAATCTAGTTACGGAAAATCAATATTAACATTTTATTTATCAATGATGATTCCACGATCTATTAAAAATTAAGGATTAACAATCGAGAATCGATGATTCAATAGCATTGCTCGATTGCATTGATCGATTTTTCAATAGCATTGCCACCGTAAAATATTTCAATAATTTCTTCTAGGCCAACGAGATCTCCGAAGTACAATCAAAAAGGAGATTCGGTAACAATGCGTTGCGCTCGGCAAAAATTTCGAATTTTCGCAGGAAATGCATAATGCATGTTTCGGGCAGCTTTCGAATTTTGATTAAATCGTGGCACGGGGTCTCTCGCGCGAGCGAATTCACTCGTTCTTCGACGGGCTCTCGTTGGAACAGGAGTCGTCAACCCTTTCCCGATTGTGCCACGATTTCGGAAACACCCCGTACATTGCGCAACCGTACGTGCATACATCGTTCTACGCGAACGATTATGATGCAACGCGCGGAGCGGAATGGCTCCGAGAAACGGAAATTTGTAATTTCTCAGGCTCATCGATCAAACAATGAGATGTTAATATTCATTACGATAATGAGACGCGATAATTTATAACAATCGCCGGAAACACGCTTAAATGCAAGTTCACCGTGGTCTCGCCCACGGGGTGCATTGTATTACTTTGGAAACGAAAGAATTGTATAAGACCGCGTCGATTCTGTAATCTCTGTTATTCGAACAGTTTCAAACAGGCATGGCGCCGCATTCCGTCGAGCTAATTGCGAACGCATCGGCGAAGAAAAATCATTTTGATCTATCGCACTCGTATTTCGTATCAACGAATCGGCAAGCAAGGCTGCTTCGAGGCAACTAAATTGTTTGTCGGGAGGCAAGCCGGCTCTCTGAAAATTCATTTTTCTTATCGCGGAAACCGGTCTCGCGGAAACACGGGCCGATATAAATCACTATGAATGGGGGGAGAACACGTCTAGAACATGCGTTTGTATCGCGAATTATATCAGCCGTTGCGAAAACAAATTTCTACGTAACTTATAGACGGTAGCATCCTCGATTCACTAACTGTTTCACGATAAAGATCTACCGTGCTTCTTCTTCTTCTTCTTCTTCTCTTCTATCGCGGTTCCGGAAGCAATCAAGAGTGCCACGGAGCGTAATTAATTTCCGGAAGCCCTCCGGAGCCTGTGTTCCGCGACCGATCCTGCCTTTTAGGGACTATTGCCCCTCCCCCACCACGCTTTCGAAAAGAAAACAAGTTCTCTCCTTCGTGCACGCAACCGATCCGATCGCGAGGTTGCCGATCTTTGCAAACTTCAACCCCCCCCCTTTGAAACCTGTACTTTCATCTTTTCGCATTGTTCGCCAATTTTTCATCGAATTCGAGGAAATTTACTCTTCAAAATTTCAGACGTTCAAGGAGCTTAAGGAAGTCTGACAATTTTCGTGGATCTGAAATTTAACCCCTTGCCATAGTTCGACGAGTCTGACACGCGATCGAGATTTCTAATAATAACCAGTTAAGTATGAATGATATTCCGTTCTTTTTTTAGTCTGAATAAAATTCTGATTTCTTGTCATCGGTATTTAAACGTTTCAGTAAACTTAGACCCACGATAAATGCAAATTGCCTTTTTTCTTCTTAGAAATGATTGCAATCGAAAAGCTTCTAATCACTGCAACCATGGAGAAAATTGTACGGCAAGGGGTTAAGATGACCCTTTCATAACGAATCCATAAAATCTGACGTAGGTATTAGAATATAAATTACATCACGAGGGGTACGTGCCTTTTAGGGACTATTGCCCCCCACCACGCTTTAGAAAAGAAAACAAGTTCTCTCCTTCGTGCACGCAACCGATCCGATCGCGAGGTTGCCGATCTTTGCAAACTTCAACCCCCCCCCTTTGAAACCTGTACTTTCATCTTTTCGCATTGTTCGCCAATTTTTCATCGAATTCGTGGAAATTTACTTTTCAAAATTTCAGACGTTCAAAGAACTTAAGGAAGTCTGACAAATTTCTTTGGTCGTTCGAACGATCGTGGATTTGAGAATTAACCCTTTGCCATAACTCGACGAGTCTGACACGAGATTTCTAGTAATAACCAGTTAAGTATGAATGATATTCCGTTCTTTTTAGTCTGAATAAAATTCTGATTTCTTGTCATCGGTATTTAAACGTTTCGGTAAACGTAGACCCACGATAAATGCAAATTGCCTTTTTTCTTCTTAGAAATGATTGCAATCGAAAAGCTTCTAATCACTGCAACCATGGAGGAAATGGTACGGCAAGGGGTTAAGATGATCCTTTCATAAAGAATCCATAAAATCTGACGTAGGTGTTGGAATACGAATTACTTCACGAGGGGTGCGAAATAGAAAAAGTAGAATAAAATAGTTACAAAAAATAGTATACAAAATTGCATTTTGCCGGATCTTTTCGTAGCCACGAAAGAAAATTGCATAACAGAAGAATCAAATTTTTGTTTTAAATTTAGCACAAACGACGTTCGTAATTAGTGATCAAGATAAAAAGAATTATAAAAGAAAATTAATGGAA